ATGAGCAAAAAAAGCTCATAATCAGTTTCAAAAAGCTATTGCAAACACCACCTAACTATTATGGGAAAAACATGGTGACCAAAATCTAACCGGCCAAAAAGGTCCGTTTTGCAAATTAAAAAAAATGTCATGATCTCCAATTACTAATTTATCCTGCAATTTTAATTTAATTATGATTTTTCTTTTCTTTTTTTTTTCTCTCTCCAATATAAATATAGAATGTCAAGTTTCAATGTTAATAAATATCAGATTACTATTCTCAATAAAGTACACTAAATTCATTGGGATTAGTTTGTAGAACTCCTCCATTTTTAAATTATATAGAATTAATTACCAAGCGGATTACACTCTAGGAGAAACCTCGCTCATTTCGAAAATATTTTAACATACCCCTGGCCACTATGAAGTATCTATAATACCTTTTCAAAATCAGTTTCAGAACATAGCCACTCACAGTCGTCTCTCTCTTCCTCTCTCAAATTCTAGTTTCAAATCCCGCCTCCATATATCTCCAACCGGCGAAGTTGCTTCTCGTAATCATAACTCTCTCTTTGGTCGGAATTCGAAGGTTTAGCTACTGTTGGATTTCTCTCGTCGAGCTCTTTCTTTTGGTGGTGATTTCATTCATTTTGGAGCACTCTATCTGTTTCTGCAATTTTTTTTTCAGTCGACGCATATTTCGACGACGGTGGGTCTTGCCGGAGGTGTATTTTGTGTTCCGGCAGTCGGAAATTGACGGGCTACCCACCGTTGGATTCCTATCGTCGAGATCTATATTTTGATGGTAATTTCGTTCATTTTTATATTTTCATATTTATTTTTATAATCTTTTTTTCATTTGTGAGCGCGTAAACTTGGGTGGTTATTAGCGGCGGCTAGGGTTTTGGTAGGAGACGATTGGGCTGAGGAGTCACTAGCTGTTTGGTTTAAAATTCGTAGCATTTCCCAGCTATAGCCTCTCTCTCTATCTCTCGATCTCTTAGTGTTTGTTATGATGTTTCTTCAATTTTTATTGATTTGCACTAAAATAACGTCTTCTTTTTTGATTTTGCAATTGCAGCTTAATGAAAGTCATTGATCATCTTCTTGAAGAGGTCAAAAATTGGTTCAAGTTGCATCTGCTTCAAGTTACAATGTTCAACATACTGTATACATTATTGTACATTACTATACAGTACTAGTTACGTATAGTAACATGTTGTTACATATGTATATATTTGTGTATTTTTTATTTGTAATTTATTGATTCTGAGGTGATTTATAATAAGAATATTGAAATGTGTAATTTTTTTTTTGTTAGGATTGATGAATTTCTTTTGTATAAGCCAGTATTCGTGTGTGCATACAATTAATCGACTAAAAATATGTGATAAAACAAAAGAAAATAACTACGAATTACTATAGTTTACTATAGTTACATGTAGTTACATTAAGTTATTTTCGGTACAGTAAGTATATTGATTTGAAAAAAAAAATTAAAAAAATCAAAAAGTATATATTTATAAATTTAACAAATAGGTTTATTAAAAAAAAAAAAAAAAATCAGCAAAAATGCTAAATGCAGGACCAGAAATACTGAATGCAGTTTGGTCAAAAATTGCATATAAGGGTAATATAGTACTTTCGCCTTTCCAAATGATATGTCAAAGGATGATTTTGCCTGGGTTTATCCCTAGTTTATTTAGTAACTAGGGGTATGTAAAATAAACCCTAATTTATTTCATTTTCCATCAATTAATTCAAACGACTCGGTGGGTCCCACTAACCAATTTTTGGGCCAAGGTCTGCGTGAGCCGAGTGAGTAAGGAAAGTGAGTAGAGAAGTTTGATTCAAAATTTGAATTAATAAAATCGGATTAGCTCAATTTTTTTTCCTAATTACTAATTTGGTATTATAATCATGAAATTAACTACTATGATTACGAATTGAGCACATAGTTACTTTATATGTATTTAATAAAATATTTCTGAAAAAAATGGAATTATTTTAGGAAATCAAAATTAATATTTCCAAATTATTAGAATAATTCCAATTCCAATTCCAGTCTGAAAACAAAACACGAAAAAACTTGAAATTGGAATATTGGTTATTGGAGTGAACATATATGTTCCATACTCGAAAAAAGTGGACAGATATCGACGGAATTCGGAAATTCCGTTCCTACTTACACGCTTAACTAGGCCAATCAATATTATTTTGAATAACTCTCATTCTGAAAATTTGACAAAATATGTTTAATTTCTATGAGCTGTCTTTTTAGTGGTTTCTTAATTACCTTCACCTAACTTGATTAATTTAATAACATAATTAAGATCTTAAATCTTAATGCCTCTCTTTCTATTTCGTTCAGCAGTTTGAGAGTGAAGGATTTTGACTTGAAAGTTGAAACCCTTTTCCAAATATTTTAATATAAAATTAATATGTTTTATATTTTGATTAAAAAAGTAAAATTCAACCAAAACACGTCGACATGTAATTAATATGTTTTAATCGAAACCGAAAATCGAAACCTAAAAAAATGGGTATATAAATTTATGGTCTTAGTTTGAGGACCGAAGACTAAAACTAATGATCTCACCAAATTCAAAATCCCTTTGAGTCTTAGTTTTCGAATAAATTTTAAATTTCCATTCCGTTTTTTTTTTAATTTAATAATGGAAACATGTAACACAATATTTTTAACTAGTCATGACCAAATTAAATTGATTTAAATGCTATATCATAAATTCATGAAGAGATTAAAGGGGAGTTAGATACTACATTTGGTTATTTACATCAGGTGAATTTCAACCGTAAATTTGATTTAATAACCGTTCATTAAGTACACATACACATGGATATGTGTATATTACGTGTAGATTTACTATTGAAATACATTTAGTGAAAATAACCAGATATAAAATCTGAAGTGAATGTGTTTTTAATATGATCATTGTCACTTAGGACTCAACATGCTAATTGATTCCCTAACTAAACTAGTTGAAAACTTTGAAGCGTTGCAACTCGTTTTTATAGTAAATTGCAAATTGTACTATGGTAGCGCTCCGTCCCGAGTAGCAGGCATCAGGGGTGGAACCAGGAGATTTGGTTGGGGGTCTAGAATATTTTTTTGGACTAAAATGGTATAAAATTTTAATTTTGGGGGAGTTAAAGTATATAAATTAATTGGTCCCCCCAGACACCTCGATATCGGGACACCACTCAACATGCAATACATTCAATAACCCCAAATGTACTCCTCAAAATTCGAAAATCACAACATTAAACTTCAATATCCATACAAGGATTACAAGTCGACTTCGACACTGCTTATTCTGTTACAAAATTCTAGAGAACTATTCATGTTCCGTAGGATATCTCCTTAATCT